AAAGGAAAGCTAATAGAGAGTTTTTAGGGGGGAAAAAATCTTGATTAAATTTCTGTACGTTTTTATGTATGCCAGGGAAGATTTCATACCAGAACTTTGTCAAGCAAATGCATCTTTCTTGAGACACCTTCCATACTGAGTTCTTTCCAAATTCACCATGGTTCATGCTAGCTGAGAATTTTGGATGGTGTAGTCCAGGGGTAGGTTTCAACCGGTTCGCGGCGGTCCCTGCAAACCGGTTGGTCGGCGAACCCGGAAGTAAGTAACTTCCGGGAACGGCGAAGGGCCCACGCGCCCGCCCGCGCTCCTTACCCGGTTTTGACGAGTTCTGCGCTTCCACGCTTGCGCAGGACGCATACAGCGCCTGCGCGATCCTCCAGGAGCAGCTGGAGCATCACACAGACGCTAGTACGCATGTGTGCGCTGCGCGCATGCGTGTGCTACACGCATGCACACACGCGCTATGCACCTGCACAAGGACGCCCCCGGCCCCGTTCCAACTGAACCGGTTGGAACGGGGCGAGAAACCCACCCCTGCTCCAGAGGCTTTCCTCAAACCTCCCTGAGGTGAAAATGGCCGCCCCTCAGCTCTGGAGGCCAGAAACGGGCCTGTTTTCAGACTTCGGGGAGGCCTTCCCAGAGCCTCCGGGCGGGCCCTGCACTTAACTGGCATGACGAATGGGCCGCATTGAGACTCCTGGGAGGGGAGGAGTGGGGTGGGAGGGGCCAGCCAATGCTTGCAACTACTGGTTCAGTGAACCAGATGTCAAATTAACACCCAGTTCGCCCAAACTGGTGCAAACCAGCTGAATCCCACCCCTGCCCATATCGCTATATAAAATATGCCAGGAATGGGGGACAGACATTGATCAACCCCATCTGGAAAAGTTTTTTGGAGCATTTAACGGTACCATTTTTACTCCTAATTTTGCCGAAGGGGAACAAAGAATATTGGCTGAGGTTACCTCTGCTATAAAAGTCTTTTAAGGGCAGGGAGTTCTCAGGTGTATCCCACAAATTGCACATCTCTCTTTGCATGAACAGAAATAATTTATAGATAGCTTTTTCAGTGGTACTAATAAAAGACTATCCATATTCTTGATTGTTCTACTGAGTTTTCACTTTTATCAGAGACTGATGGTGGAGGGAAGGATATTGCTATAGCTTTTATCTGTTCCAAATCTCTAACTCTTTCGGTTCATTTTTTTTTAAAAACTCCCATGCGTATGCTGGGTTCCTTAAGGACTCTTTCTCATTCTGTTTACAAATTGTAGGAACTGGTGAAACAGGTGCTCAGTGCTATCCGGGCCATTGCAGGCAATGATGATGTAAAAGATGCCATTGTCAATGCAGGAGGGACTGATCTCATTATTTTGGCCATGAGTCGCCATCTTGGCAACCCACAGGTAGGTTGAGAACATGGGAGTGCTTATACCCAGAGAAAGTAGCTCTGTTTCAGGTGGTCTAATTAGCTACTCCTAGATCTGTTCCCTTACTTGACATCTCTGCTATTGTTGGTAGGAGACTTGGCTTGCATACATCCGAACTAGACTGTGTCATATAATATATGTGGGTATATGCCATATTTTTCAGAGTATAAGACGCACCCTTTTCCCTCAAAAAAGAGGGTGAAAATCTGGGTGCCTCTTATACACTGAATACAGCATTTTTGGCCTCCTGACACCCCGCCCCCTTCACCAAAATGGCCGTGCATAGCCTTTAGGAGGCTTATAGAGTGTTCCTAGGGACTGGGGAGGGCAAAAGTGAGCAAAAAACAGACCGATTTTTGCCTCCAGGAGCACTCTACAAGCCTCCTAAAGGCTACGCATGCCCTTTTTTTCTAAACCAAAAAAAAAGGGCCATTTTTGGGAGGTCTGCAGAGTGCAAAACCTTTTTTTAAAATTTGCCTCTTCAAAATCTTGGTGCATCTTATTATAGTCCGAAAAATACAGCACATAATTTTGTATTTATTTTGTCATGTTTATATAGTGTATATTGGAGGTGGAAACCCTTTGAGAGCGGTATGCAATGAAATTTCATTTTAATGTATGCCGATTATTTCTTTCAAAGTGACAATCATTCATTCATTCAAAATTCAGTCTCATCCAAAGTGACAATAAAGTTATTATTCTATTCTATTCCATCCCATATTCTACTCTACTCTCTACACTCTACTCTACTCTACTCTACTCTACTCTACTCTACTCTACTCTACTCTACTCTACTCTACTCTACTCTACTCTACTCTACTCTACTCTATTGCCATCAAGTCCATCTGTTGAACAACTTAACAGGAACAACTCAGAAGTTCTGGGAGTTAAAAGTCCACAAATCATAAAAGGGCCGTAGTGCCCCCCCACACATGGTTAGACCATCCCAGCTTGCTTCTGTCCATGGTTTAAAAGGTCCTGGCTTAATAGCAATATTATAGCAATAGCAGTAGACTTATATACCGCTTCATAGGCCTTTCAGGCCTCTCTAAGCGGTTTACAAAGAGTCAGCATATTGCCCCCAACAATCTGGGTCCTCATTTTACCCACCTCGGAAGGATGGAAGGCTGAGTCAACCCTGAGCCGGTGAGATTTGAACCGCTGAACTGCTGATCTAGCAGTAGCCTGCAGTGCTGCATTTAACCACTGCGCCACCTTGGCTCTTGACAGAACAAGAATAGAATAGAACAAGAAATAAAAAAGAATAGAATAGAATAGAATAGAGACTAGACTAGTCTAGTCTA